CCAGCAGCAGCAGCAACCAGCAGCAGCAGCAACCAGCAGCAGCAGCAACCAGCAGCAGCAGCAGCAGCAACCAGCAACCAGCAACCAGCAACCAGCAACCAGCAAACCAGCAAACCAGCAAACCAGCAACCAGCAATGGCGGCGGCGGCAGCGGCAGCGGCAGCGGCAGCAGTGGCGGCGGCGGCAGCAGCAGCAGCAACAGCAAAGCAGCGGTTGCAGCACAGCAAAGCAGAAAGCAGCAACAGTGGCAGCAGCAACAACTAAGCAACCAGCAGCAGCAGCAGCCGCAGACATGCTACCTTTCGTCCACCCCCATCTCCTCAAGTTATCGTGGAATATTGCTGCATAGAAGAAGGCGATCGTTTTTGGACATTTGGTCTACTGACCAAGTTGATGTGACTTAACTAGACCAAAAAAAAAATTGAATTCCGTCTCCAGTCATGACAACCAATGTACAGTATCTCAGTGAAGAACTGAATAGTGTAGCCCAGTAGTATGCCTTCACGTGCTATCACAAGTTCCTTGTTCTTGCAGAAGATAACATTTTTTGTTAAGGCGAAAATGGTCAAGCAGATTGCCAAGACTGGCTGCAATGTGCTTTTGGTACAGAAATCCATCCTGAGAGATGCTGTGACTGATCTTTCGCTCGACTTTTGCGCGAAGGCAAGGTGACAAAAGAAAACATTTATGCACAAAGTCTTTGGAACTCTCCAAGTTTGGCCAACGGATCCCAATCCATTAGGTTGGAGGCCATCGCTCTCAATTAGGTTGGAGGCCATCGCTATTAGGTTCCTTTTAATGTTTCTTTCTTAAAACTTCAATGAGTGCCTCTCCCTCAGACCGAGAGGCCAAGATCATGGTCGTCAAGGACATCGAGCGGGAAGACATTGAGTTCATCTCGAAGATTTTGGGCGTAGAGGCGGAATTGTTGGGAAGCGGTTTCAGATGGTCTCAAACTGCCTTTGTGCGGTGTTGAGCCGGCAATCTGATGTTAAATTGTGCTTGAAGGCAGCTTTCATGTGGCAGAAGGTGAACGATCATATGTGATATAGTTCCAAAACCAGTGTTCTAAGACGGGTCATTGATTTGTGCGGTCACAAATATCCGTTGGTGAAGGAAAGGAAACATAGATTCACTATACCAAGTGACTGACATGGGTTCTGGGAAGGCAGCCGCCACTTTGGACACCTTCACACCAGATAAGTTGGCAAAGGCCGAACTGGTGATGGAAGAAAAGCTGGGATCAGAGACTCTCGTCTTATTAGCATTTGTGATGTAAAATGTATTTGTATGTTGTCATCAAGGTGCTTGGACCACATGGTTTTCGGCTCTTCCTGACATGTGAATGGTCCATGTGAGGTTGGGCAGCATCGTTCGCTTCACCGGCCTGCAGAGCTCCAAGGAGCTTGTTTCAGCTGTCCTTTGAGTCGAGAGCATCCTTTTTTCTGCCCGCCCTGAGTCGAGTAGCTGCCTAGTTCATTAAGTAAGGGTTAAACAAACTACTAGGTAACCTGCTACTAGCTGGGACGCAGGATAGCTCACGCTTGCACTTTTCATTTGATTCCTATATGTTTGGGAAACTTGACAAGATTGGCTGTACAGGGTGGATGTGTCTCTGTGCTGGTGCGTGCATCCAATCAGATGCTGCTGGATGAGACTGAGAGGCGAGTTTTCAAGATCAACTCGATTCCTGGGACGAAGAGCGGGCCAACAAGAGCGTGGGCAAAAGATTCTACTAGGAGCAAGGACGCTACTAGGGGCTCCTGGCCTTACTACTACCAGTAGTAACGAGAAGCTACTAGTAACAAAGGGCATCGCTACTAGGAGCAAGGACGCTACTTAGGCTACTATTGTGTTAGCGATTGGGCCTACCCTTGCAGGTCTATCCACGATGCGCTTTGTGTAGTGCGAAGCTTGGTCAAGAAGAAGGCATTCCAATGTGTGTTTTTCAAGAAAAAATCCAAGTCAGTGTGGACGTGTAGATGAACAGATGGAAATACATCATACTATCATGTGTTCTTCCAAATCCCATATGTGGGCCAGGCGCTCATTGCTGGTGGTGCAGCGCCAGAAATGGAAGTTGCACAGAAGTTGGATGCATGGGCCAGGACCCTCTAGTGTGCTTGATCACAATGCGTATAGGCTAAGAGGAATGTTTTTCAAGTGGGCGAGTCGGCACATTATGAATGAATGCGTTGAAGAGACATGACAGGACAATTGGTGGCATTACACAAGTATGCATTGAGCACTACGCTGAAGCTTTGGAGCTGGAATCTATTCTGCATGGAGATAGAGATAGAGAATGGGCAAAAGAGAATTGCAAACAGTTTTGTATACATTCTAGTTGCATGCCTTATGCCTTTTGGAGATTCATATCAATATAAGTCCATGTTGTTCAATGTGAGACTCGCAGGTGCCCTACACCTTGGCAGAGAACGCAGGCATGCAGCCTGTAGAGATCGTGACGCAGCTGAGAGCTGCGCATGCCAAGGGCGAGAAGTTTGCTGGTATCAACGTGAAGTTTCTTGGATCGGATAGAATTTTGCTGCAGAAATGGAATCATTCCTTGGCAGCAATGCACAAGAAGCGTACTAATGCAAAGTTAGGAGGTCTGGAGGAGGGATGTTCTTACTTGTTTTACATTAATGCTTCGTAGATATTCGGAGCCAAGCTATGGAACTTGATTCAGTTTTGTGTGTATACTTTTTGCAAGGGTTGTTTACGTTTGTATGACGTTCTGACATGACGTTTGTGCCATGGTGCATCATTGGTGAGAGATTCTGAGATGTACTGAAGGAAGGGTTGTATCAGCGACATGTTCCAAGAGAACGTGGTGCAGCCTTTGTTGGTATCCACAAGCGCCATCAACATGGCCACAGAGACAGTAGCTGCGCCGCAATGTATGTCTTGCTTCCATGGGCATGTCAGAGCTGTTTCATGTTTTTTCTTGCCATCTATAATAGCAAGAAGCTACTAGGAGCAAAGGTCATCTCTACTAGGAGCAAGGACGCTACTAGGGGCTCATGGCCTTACTTACTAGTAGGAACAATGTTTGCTATTAGAAACAAACAATAAATCTATAGCATATCAGTTCATCTCCCAAGTCGTCCGACGGTCGTCCTGCAGACGAGGTGCGAATGATCCTGAAAATTGATGACATTGTCCTGACTCGATGACGCTGTCCCCTGGGGTTTTGGGACCTGCAGACACATGCAGACGCCACAGAGTCAGTAGTCAGACAAGACCTGCACCGACCTGCCTACGCGCCGGGAGGGAAAAGAGCAGTTGTGGGCCACATAGCTCATATATTACATAAATATATATATATATTACTATAAATGTATATATATATATGCACAGTACATTCTAAGCTTGCCTGTGCCTGATTTTTGAACAGGCTGAGAGTTGCAAATCTATTTTACCACAAGGTGATTTTGGAATATGTGGGTATGTTATACATATGTGTGTGCGGTGGTGCGTGACTCGACGGAATGTCATTAGTTATTGTTTCCTTGCTTGCTGGCATGCTATCTAGCTAAATTACTTTTTTGATTTATTGTTTATCCCAGTTGTTTTGGGGCCTCTTGTAATGTTTGCATTGGCATGTTTGTAGTATTTCCAAGTTGTCACCCGTTGTAAGCTCTTTTTCAAGGTCTTGGCATCCTACAAACCGAGTGATGCAGAGAAACTGGGCATGGATGCCCAGCGACTTCGAGCAAAACATCCGCAGCTGATTTATGTGGGGAGGCCTGGGACAAGTAGAACATTCTATGTCGGCAGAACATCTGAAGAATCCATCGAATGCAGGGACGGATGGAGCGTGACGGAACGAGGAAAGAAGCATCATTGCTTGGCCTTTTCAGCATGTTTTTGCATGGCTTTGCTGGTTGCGTAAAGTCGTTGGAATCTTGAGGCTCAGATCACGGGATATGGTCTCAAGGATCCTCGCGTGGGCTATGATGCAGTGGTGCAGGATCGGTTTGTTTCGAGAATGTCATCTAAGTTCAGGAGCCCCTAGCAGCTTCTTGTTCCTAGTAAATAGCTTCTTGTTCCTTTTCTATGAATATGTTGTAGCCAGTGGCACCTGTACATCCGAAGGTGCTAATTGGCCTACCATAGAAGCTTAGAGGTGCTCAAAGGAGGCAGTTTATGAATTCGTCGCCTAACGGGCTGATTTTAGTCTCGGCTGATCTGCCTGATGAGCCACAGTCATTGATGCTGTCTCCTTTACTCAGTGACTGCAGGCGGAATCGGGCTTTACTTTCATGAATGGAAGTCCTGGTGAGGCCTCTAGATGCTGGAACAGCTCAACTGGGTCGGTATGTTTTTGGTTCTGGCTCCAAAGGAAGGTTGGTCAACTCAGGGCAGAAATGGCGTTGTAGGTATTGTATAATATTGTATACAGATCAGTACTGCTTTTCTGAGTGGTTTGATTGCATGAGTATTAGTATCATGAACCTCGAGCTGCATCCTTGGCAACTGATTTGCTTGAGGATACTATTGCATTCTAAAATCAAACAACATCTACCATTGAACCTTTTTGTACCTTTTTGTAGAAAAGACTGCTTCAACACGTGTGCCCGTTCTTGCCAGGCAGGTCGCCCAACAAAAATGCCTGTAGCCCTGGTGGACTTGCTAGCAGCGCATCAGCTCAAAGAGGCCGGGCGTGCGCGCTGGGAGTTTATTGGGTGAGTCACAGCATTCATTGGAAGTGCCTTTTCAATCCTTTTCATGCTTTGCTTTTCTGCACAATGCTACTCAGAATTACTCAGATAGAGTTCTTGAAATGCTTCATGTCATTTCGATTTTGGGAGAACGGGCAGGGTGGTTTGGCACGGGCAAGAGTTTCTCTTAGTCTCAACACAGTTGGCTGACGGCCTTTGAGGCTGTTCTGCTGGCGCTTCTACAACGTGAACGGACTGGTGAAGGTGCCAGAAGACGGTTTAGCTGCAAGAAGGCTTGCACGATCAGGAGAAGAACACCATCTTCAGAGGTCCTTTTGTGGAGTTGTTCTAATAAACCACAATAAAATTGACACGTGCCGGCTCAAGTCGATACCTGAACAGGAATGCCTGTTGCTCAACATGAAATCATTCACCAATCATCAAAGAGAGTTCCCCTGACCAGGACATGCCACAAGACCCCAGCGACAGTCCACGACCCCCCCAAGCAGCCCATAGGTATCGTGATGTATAGTGATAGTGCAACGATGTGCAACGATGTGCATTTAGGAGCAAGGACGCTACTAGGGGCTCCTGGCCTTACTACTAGGAGCAATGTTCGCTACTAGGAGCAAAGCACGCTACTAGGAGCAAGGACACTAGTAGGTTATAGTGATTATGGTGCAACGATGTGCAACGATGTGCACCCTATGATTGGATTGGAAGACATTTGATGTATCCCACGATGGGTGCCATTTGATGTATGTACCTACATCAGTACTAATAAGCGACGCGGGAGTGCACGGCCAAGAAAGTTATTGAGCCCGTGTTCTTCAGTTTGCTCACTAGATGACATGTTGACATTTTGATCATCCATTTAGATCATCTAATTGGTGAAACATTGTTTGAAAGAGTGCCCAGCTCTCAACTTCAGTTCAGTAGGTAGGTCCCATCCAACATGTTCTTGCATATTTGACTTCTCGGGTCAGAAATGTGTGTTGCTACACAGTTTACAAGACAGCCTTTGAGGATCTTTGAGGCAAGAACGCAATCTTATTTGTTGAAGACGTGATGCTGTTCACATTGGAGGTGCGCACGTCCACGTCTCGCTTATGGCGGCGGCATTGTCATCACTGGCCAACCAGGCCCCTGCACTAGGGAGTAGCAGATACTGTGCCTCAGCCAAGCTTGTTGACCTCATGTCTTTGACCAGATTTTGCAGCTGTGGTGAGCTGTCCTGGTTCAAAACAAATTAACTATTTATGGATAATTCATGCCAGGCGACTGGCTATTTGATTGCCGGGCAAGTGCCGCAGCGCATGGGTTCTGCTGCTTGGAGCTGTATCTAGGGCATACAAAGGTACGGAGATCCAAACACGGAATCACAGATTGGATCAACGTTGATCAGCGAATCTACCGTTCCAATCCCGGAAAGATCTAAAAGGAATTTAAATAGAAAAACATGCCAAAGCCAAAAGCAGGAAAGATTCCAACAGGTTTTGAGCAACACAAGCATACTGCTGAGGATCATCCATCCATTTGCCCCTACGGCACAGACTTTCTCGATCAGGCCAGTATAAAGTCCAGAAATGTTGACTGTCCAAACTATTTTTTTCGATTATTTGATTTGCCAAATGTCTTTTATTTCGAACATGTATTTGCATTTGTCCTTTCTGACATAGTCACACGGATCAAATCTGGTCACTCAATGTCACTAGAAATCCGGGAAAATCTTGAGAATCATGTTAGTTCGATGCTAATCACCTGGTTGAGAGATGTTGTAAACCATGCAGTGTCACACACTTTTGGAATGGTTTATGTTCCTATTTTCCCCAAAATATGTTTCCAGGATGGTCTACCGATTATTTTGGCAGCCAAGCTCTCAGTTTGCCGGTTTGTCATATGTGTGCCCGAGTCCTGCCGCCATTGATGCTCTTTTGACTTGCAGCAAAAAGATCTTTATGCAAAAAACTTATTGTATCTATGCCATGCTGAAAGAGAGGCAGAAGATAGTGGAACGATGTGGAACGGTTTGTTTTCTTAAGAGAATACTTACTAATCAAGTTCTTCCTGAGAGTTTTCAACCTAAGAGTTGTGTTGTATCAATTGGACTACACCATTTTATTGAAGGCGACAAATACTATGTCAGACTATTTCGCGTGACAGTGATGAGTTGCTAGCTAAAGTCTCCGTGTTGATGTGCCTCAGTTGTGAGCATGATGCCAAAATGCACCATACTTTCAATTGAGACCAAGGAAAGGATTGTAGCTCCATGTGTCATACGGGACCAAAGGAGTATGCAACATTTGTGATCAGGATTACAGAAGTTTTTTTGTGACCTGTGACTGCAACCATAGACAAGTCTTGTACCCATCGCTGTTAAAGCTTTTGTCCAAACAGACAGGAAGAACGCATCGTCTTTAATCATGTGCAGTATTGGAGTCGTTTCTCTCAATCAAGGGCCTCTAGTATAGTGCATGTATAGCGAAGTGTCGATGATCTTCGGCACCTGGCAGTAGTTGAATATTGAGGTGGGGTCGGATGCGCAGTTTCGCAGCCTTTGCGAGGTGCTTCTTGGGGTTCAGCATGTGATGGCTTTAGTCAAATCACTTGCCCTGGTAAACAAACTCTTGGAGTCACAGCCACTTCAATAGCAAGTTCAGAGTCTCATCAATTGATACCTTTTGGCAGCTACAGCTCAATCCTGTGGGATTGCGGCTTTGGCAGCCTCACTTAGTCCAGGTATGCCGAGCTGTGAGCAAGTGACAGTACAAGTCTTGTGTTCTATGTGGAACACCTGTCTCAGCCTGTCTCAGTCCAGCAATCAGATGGCAGAACACGCAGGTCTTAAAGCGAAGCGAGCTTGCAGACTGTCCCCGCTTTGCCTCCAACGCAGAACGGGTGGCAAACCGCCAGGAGTGACACTGGGGCTAGCGGCTAGAGAGGGTTTTTGGCTTCGGTAGGGTAGCTGTTGCATGTACTTGCACACCTCTTGGCAAAAGGGCCTTGGAAAGAAATCCTGCAACTGCACCGTCCATGTGGTTTGGACAGTGGATGACAGACAGCCAAGAGTCAAGATCCTTGAGTTTTGCCAGCTCTGCAACAACAAATCCGTGCTGTTTTTTCGTAGACAACAGATTTGCAAAGCGCAGAGACCAAGGAGCTTCTGTCACTCTTGGCCTCAGCCATTGCCGAGACCAAGCGGGACGAATTGCTTCTGGAGCTGCGGCGGCGCAAGGAGAACCGGACATGTGTTCTGTGATGTGAACATTTCGGACAAAGAGAACATGTTTTCTTGTTGCTACTCGGTAATATGGTTGTTTTGTCGTTATGCACAGGCAGGCTTCTAGCCAGTTACAGTAAACGTGTTGTTTATCGCGTTTGTGTTGTGTTTGTTGAACTCGCAGTTGAACTCACCACATGACTGACTTGCAGATAGTGTCGACAGGTCCCTGCAGGTGCCATAGCTGATATGGCCACTGTTTTTCAATCAGACCAAGCACAGGCCTGAAGCTCAGCTGGGTAAGGGAATGCACAGTGATTGAATGTGATGGATATCTTCAGAAAGAGCTGCAAGGAAAGCTGATGCGCACATGATTTGATCGATCTCAACATTCTAGGAGAAGAACGGATGAAAAGGAAACAGTACAGTAATATAGGGAGCAATTTGATACATCTTTTGAATCGTTGATAAGCCCCTCAGGCCATGGTGCTTCGAGATGGGAATTCTTTGGGGCTACGTCAGGCGAGTAGCGAATGCGATGGCACGCAAGCACCAGCACAGTGAGCCCATGGCAGGTAGCCTGGGATGGTCATCAACGAAAGAAGCTGAAAACCTTGCCAGGCTGGAACAGAGCTGTCGGACCTTGCTGTTTTGCTTATCTACATGCTGTTCAATTTTGTTGGACGGACCAGGATTGGGGTTTCTCATGCTGTTCAATCTTTTTGGAGGTGTGATGAATGGAGCATCCCCGACAGACTTGTAGCGGACATTGTCACCAAGCCGTCCTTAGTCCATGTAGAGTCCATGTGGATTTGTAAGATTATGTAACGTATTTCTGTTGCTGTGGATCACCCCGGTCAGTTCCCAACTTGCTGAGGGTCACCGCGGCGGTTGTGGCATTAGCTGCTCCTAGTGACAGATTTGAGATCCGGGAGCAAGACGACAATCACCATCTACACGTTACTACAGTACACTGTTACACGGAAGAGTTGCAGGTTTTGGAGAGCACTCCATCGAGATTTTGACTGAGGCAGGATAGATCTTTTGTTTTGGGAGATGGGGCATGCAACAACATCTACTGCCACCGCTCCAGCCACGCCCATTCCTTTCTTGATTAAGTGTTGACGGTTGGTAATGTCGAAAGATACATCAAAGCACCTGGTCTTGCGTGGCCCTCTCCCGTCTCCAACGTAGGGATTTCATGTTGTTTGGTTCTCTCGGACTTTGGTTCGTGTTAAAAGGTCTGGTTTGTGATTGGCACTGCACTCTTGTGAGATTGGATCTATGTTTGGTGTCTCGGACATAGGTGTGACCCTTTGCTTTTCGTCCATTTCTAGCGCTTGTGTTGAAATCAATTGAAAATCAATAGTAAAACATCCTTGAAACCCTTTCTCAATCAAGGTTTTTTTTACTTGGTTGCCAATTAATACGTCTCTCTAGAATCCTTGTCAAAACCAACCAGAAACCCAAAACATATCACCGGCAGCTGGGAATCAAACCTACAAGATATCCGCTTACGAATCGTTTGCAAAAATCCATTTCAACATTGTATGAAAGACTATAACTACTTTTCAAAAAGCCATTCTCAACATCGACTGAGGAAGATTTGCGCCACTGGTTTCCACTTAATTTCCGCTTAAGTTGTGTTCAGTTAAACTATGGTTAGTTGTGGCCCAAAACACCGGTTTAAAACAATTTATGATTCATTAGTTTCCAGGTATATAAGAAACGTACAATTAGACTTTTCCAATATCAATGACTTTCCCATGTATGAGCAACATCCTGACCAACATGCAGCGAGTTGAGTTTTTGTCCTGGTAGATTTGGACAGGCTTGAGCGCCAATGAAAGCCTGCCCAGGTTGATTTTAGTCAACAATGGTCATGGTCATGGTGTTTAGCTTCCTCCACCTTGCAAAACGATAGGGTGTCCAAGGAAAAACAATTCCCTATGTTCAATGTGTTATAACTGCGCCACTGATTTTTCTGCAAGCGTGTGCTGTTTTTTGTAGTTCTGTGCCCAAATTGTGCCAGCAAATGTGACCACGTGCCATTCAGTGGTTTGACCACAATGTCCAGCAAAAGGTTGGGCACAGACCCGGTAGCAAATACGTACCCCATTTAGCTACTATCGTCGGACTGCCCAAAATGTCGGCAAACGCCTGCTGTTCAAACAATCCCAAAACTATACTGTACCTAAACGGCACTATGTTCTTTCACTTGTTTGGTCCGAGAAGTTAGTTGACCAGACCCAACCGGGGCCAATGTAAGGAGGTGTGGTTGACAACAGATCAGAAGAAGCGATTTGACATGACCGGTTGACGCATGCTCCCCACACAAATGATCCTCCTCCGGCTCCGATGACCTCCACTACTTGGGTGCGGTGTTCATTTAATATGTTAGCTCAACACAAGTCTTACAATCAGAACTTGCTGGGCAGTCATACAAAGTTACTAAGAGGTAGAATAGCACGAATCCATGGGGAAACAATAGGGTACCCAGGTATCCAAGATATAATGTTGACTCTTGATTTATAAACTCCCCCCCCCTCAACAACCAAGGCCTCCAATATAATGTATAAGAAAATCAATCAATTGATAATTAAATAAGGAATCCTTAGCTAGCTACCTCTGGAGCTACTCTGGCAATATTAAAATAGAAGGGAATGAATCAATGGAAATAGAACTAACTTTTTTAATTTCAATGGAAATCTAAATCCAAAGACCTGCAATTTCAATGGTAAGTAAAGCAAATCAGAAGGCAAAGAAAAGGAATAAAGATTTAAAGCCTCAAATCTCTAGACATTATTCTAGGGGCCCCCCCTAAATAATGTCAGAAAGCTGCTTGCTGGACTACCCCCTTTGCTTGAATGATGTTTTTGGTTTTTCAATACTTTTGAATAAGGGATTTTATAAAGAAAGTGCGCACTGACTTTTGGAAACTTTTGGAAAGCTTCAAACTAAAGAGCTTAGGAAAAGTAAATAAGGAATAGAGGGTGAGTAAAGCAAATCAAAAGGGAAAAAGTAAACTATAACAATAAAAAATATCCCACTACAACTACCCCTCCCAAAAAAAATACATTATTCTGGGGGCCTTTATAAATCTGTGCAGAGAAAAAGTGACATTATTCTAGGGTCGTTTATAAATCAAAGGACCACATTAACGATACCCCCCTCTCAATGACCTCAGCGGCAAGTAAGGTTTTGACAATTGCAGAGTTAATGATATAGTATAACTGTATAACTTGTGCTTAGAAGCTTGCTAGTTTTACTCGGTTGCCAATTGACGCTCCTTATCCGCTGTCCGCCGTCCCGCTCCGCACCATCATAGGTAACCAATAAGATCAAAGATCAGAGTTGTATGCTATCGAGTGGCCTTTGTAAAGGATAATATTTTTCTTCTCCACACACTGTTTTATTCAAGTCTTCTGTTTGGAACAAGTTCTCCAAGCAGACAGCAACAAAAGAGATCAAAAGAGTGCTCGTCCGGAATTGCCCAAAAAGGTTGTGCAAAAACGTGGTTTTGGCAGGGTCTAGGGGGTTCTTATGCTAATTTACCTGTTAACATATCTTTTTACTGCACAATAGAATGCTCTCTTACGCAGCTTGTTTGGTGTCGACATACGCTGACTGCTGACTTCCTTGTTATTTTTGTTTGCCTTTAATTCTTCTCCACGACTCTAGGACTTACTTTTGAGCAAGGACGAGGTGCAAGAGTGGCTTGTCTTGATGCACTAGGTCAGCTGCTATATTCCAAGTCGCAACAATCAATCAAAAAGCGCAGCCATCCTGTAGTATGTCAGAGTGCAGTCAGACAAATAAATGGATGAACGTGAAGCAACCAATGGTGCCGTTGCATGCTTTGGTATTGCTTTGTTTGAGTTCAAGCTGCTACTAGAGGAATGGAGTCCAGTTGGCATTACATCGTCAAATTAGATTTGCTGTTTGCTGTTGTTGGCTGAGGCTTGTGGAGAATGGTGTTGTTGCGACGCATGGAACATCATAAGAAAATCGCTGCCTCAGTGCAATCAGTGCTCATTGAATCCAGTGAACAGCAAACGGTTGCAAAGGGTTTTTACAGAGCCTAAGGGTTCCCAAATCGACAATGCTCCCCAGGCCCTCAGGTTCCCTTGACCTTTAAAATCCCCTGCCCCGGCCCCCGCTATGATTTTTCCGCCCGCAGGAAGCAGCTTTATCCGCCACCTCGAGCTGAGGCCTCAATGATCGCCAAACCCCAATACCAACAAGACTAGATAATTTTGGGGGGAAGTGAGATAAGTCGTGTAATCATGTAAGTATGAAAGCTGATCTATATTTTTTGCGAGAAGGGAGCTCTTTGCTTCATCACACAGCATTCATCCCCAAGATAGTCTGAAACTTGCAGATCGAGCCTCATTCTGCCTTCAAGAGAGTTTGGGATATCAAAGAGGGAAGACATGCAAGTATTTTGCACCAGCTTGGCCAGGATATGGATGCGTGAGATGTATTTCTTCTGCGAGTTGCTTTTGGATCCAGCTTTGCAATATTTTAAAGTGACTTCGCATGTACGGGGCCCACCATGTACGTGGAAGTTGATTTTCCCAAAGATGGGAAACGTGGGACCTGGCTGGTGCATGTTTGTTGCAGCTTGCACCCCTTGCAGCAGATTCCGTCACGGCATGTGTATGAATGCCCCAGTGCGACCGGCCCAATTCTTGCTTGGCCTTGGCATAGAGCAAAAGTCACTTTTCTTCTGAATGATTGTTTGTCATGTATGTACCCTTTCCATTTGTCGAGCATCCAAGTTACCTCTTGCAGTTCTGTTTGGATACGATCCATGGGATTATTGCATGGAGGCATCATAAGGCATGAGCAAGAGATTGCGACTGTGCGTGTGTGTCTATTTGGTTGTTTCGTGGATTGTTTCACATACTGTAATACTCAGTTGAAACTTTTGGATTTGCACTGCAGTTCTTTGCTCAGGCCTTCGCGCGTGCGCGTCGGCATTTGCATGTCTAGCAATGAAGTTTCTTCGGTTCCTGGTGATCGCACTTCCTTTTGGACAAGCTGCTAAATTTGTGGCTCATCCAGTGAATGTGGATGCTTTCGTGTCTTGGGTGCCATTGAAGAGACATCCAAAAGCAGCAAAGCACATCCAAGTGAAACGTCAAGTGTGCACTAGAAGCACCTGGTGTTTGCCATTGCTTTCCCGGCATTGACTTTGCATTGTCTAAGGATGATGGTGTGAATCACAACATTGACGTAGATGAAACATACTTTGAGGAGGAGGCTGCTCATGGGCCATGGGTTCCATGCCATGGGTCTTTGATTTTAGCCTGCAAGTCATTTGCATTGCCAAGAAACAGAAGGTCGAACCTTCATTGCACTTGAAATCACTATGACCTCCCAGTGGGTTTTTCACGCACCTCAAAGTTGTTTCTCTTGGCAGGATGAAGTTGAAGCATCAGAGTTGAAGTTGGCAGAGCCGTGGCATCCATTCTGTTGCATGCTTCCTTAAGCTGACTTCGACTAATAGGAAAGAACTACAGCAGCCGGTGATGAAGTGGAAGTTTGATTAACGCACTGATGATTGATGATGCTGTTGCATGATGAGGCCCTTGGAGATGATGACTTGCTTGTCTATTATGATAGGATGGGGTGATATGGAGTGTCTGAGGGAGCAGTGTTGTGAGCAGTGTTAGTTCTCGAGTCCGGCGAAGTCGTATCTCGGAGTGCCGACTGTGCGAAGTCTTACACAATTCACAGGTTCCGACATGGTTCCAACGTGTTCATCTCATATTTTTATACAATTTTCTTGTGGTGGTTGTACTACTATGCTTAGTTCCAAGTAGACAAGCAACCGCAAACTGAAGCACGCCACCGCTTTGACCCTTCGATTGTTGAGCGAAGGACTTGTATTTTGGGAGAATCGGCACACCGGTTCCAGAGAAGTGACCAATTTGGGGTAACCAACATTCAACCAACACCTGCGGTAGAAGGTAATCAGGTAATGTTGAATCCCACCCAAAACATCCAATAACCAAACGTCTCGTAGAAAGCCCACTAGTCCGGCCAAACATGGAATGTGAAGAAACTTTGGCTATAATTTGGATCAATGCGTCTTTTGTCAAAACACTGCAAGAAAGCATAGTCCAAAGTCTACAACACCACTTAGGCACCCAGTAGCCTAACTTTGCACCACACAAGCTAGCTGCTTTTTGTGTTTTGGCTATGCCATGAAGTGCCACAGTATTCTGGTACAGACAATCCAAGCAAAGCATGGGTGCTGCATGGGTCTTTGTGACTGAGGAGAACAAGGATGCTCTTGATGATGACTCACAGAGCAATGCAACTGTAACTGCAATAACTTCACACAAGTGCTTTAAGGAATGGTACTTTCACATGTCATTCCATTTTGTACGAAGCAAGTGGATACTTGTATCACTACAGTATCGATTTGCTCCTTGAAAACCAAGAGTTGTGGGAGAGAGCCATTTTGGCAGACAGGTCTCACTTGAAGCATTATCCATTGTCCAGTTTCACCTTTCAAGCAATACCTGAGGTTGAGGGTCGTGCTTCGCATGATCTTAGTTCCAATGCCACCATCTCAGAGGAGACTCAACATGTTTTCACCTTGCCAAGCCCTTATTAGCATGTTCGCGGTGCTTTTAGCTGCATGTTGCTTGGGAATTTTGCTTGTCATAGTGTTTCCTTCGTTAGTTCTAGAGTGTATTCAAAAGTGCAGAAGTTGCCATTTCTTCCTCAGGAGAGCCAGGGCAGTGTAGATGATGAGGTGCAAAGCGACGCAACTTGTCAGCCTTTGCATTGCAACCAATTAAAGATCCATTTGAGCAACATTATCTCGCACTTGTCATGGGAATTGTTGCCCAAACAAAAGAAGTGCAAGCCCATTATTTGGTCACAGGTACGTGATTGAGGCAGGTTTCAGTTGAAGATGGGTGCCCAACATTGGAACTTTTGTCCAGTTTTACCTTTGAAACCCAACCTGAGGTTGAGGATCATGGTGCGCAAGATCTTAATTCTGATGCCACCATCTCAGAGGAGACCTGGATTTGAGGGTTTTGTCTCAGCAAAAACTCGCAACGCCCTTTTTCAGGCTACACGACTGCCCTCTGAAGTCCCACACCGATGGGTGGATTTCCCACATGTCCTTTCGCAAATGACAAACCGGGTGGACATGCTTTTTGATTAGTGTATTAGCTAGCTGCGCTGCACTTTTGGATGTGGCAATGTGCTGAAAATAGTTTGTGCATGCTTGTGCAAACCGACCCAAAAGATCACGCGACCCGAGAAGAAACCCCCGGCAGAGTGTGAGCCCTCGGATTCCTGAGTGCAGGGAGCTACCCGCAGGAAGAAACGGTGGCGGCGCCCGCAGCGGCACCCGCAGTGGCTATGGAGGCTCCAGAGGCTCCAGAGGCAAGGCGAAACGGTAGATGTTTTGGCTACACCTGGTTGTTCACCATGGCAGGAGGATGTGGACGAGCTTCGGCTGCAAACGGTGTATTCAGTCAAGTCATGTTGTTTTATCGGCAACTAACGAGCTCAACCGGAAATGATGGACTTTGAGCCTGACTGTTTACAGTAAACTTATGAGCCTCAACAAGCCTTGCAATAAGCCGTTCAGTGTCCATCGCGCGTGCAATTTGCTGGAGTGGGATTGAAACCAAAAGAACCGTTCCCAGGGGCGCCCGAGTGAATCTTGTCAGCACTAAAACCTCATGCATGGTTTAAACCGTTGACTTTTTGCTTTATGCATGATGGATCCCACGTTCAGCTCACACTTGTTGCTCCAAGCGCACACTCCTGTGCACACAAAAGGAAGAAGCTGATGTTCCGATGACTGAGACTTGTGCAGTTCTTGATGCATAGTAGCATAGGAAGCTACTAGGAACAAGTGCATCGCTACTAGTAACAAGTGCCTTACTAGTAGTAACAAGAAGCTACTAGGAACAAGTTGCTTGCAGTTCTTGATGCATAGTAGCATAGGAAGCTACTAGGAACAAGTGCATCGCTACTAGTAACAAGTGCCTTACTAGTAGTAACAAGAAGCTACTAGAAACAAGTGCCTTACTACTAGTAACAAAAAGAATTTAAGTAAAATTGTAATGACTAGCCAAGGAATGTTGTTTAGACTCCGAAGTCTAAGACTTAGGAAGCTACTAGGAACAAGTGCATCGCTACTAGAAACAAGTGCCTTACTAGTAGTAACAAGAAGCTACTAGGAACAAGTTGCTTGCAGTTCTTGATGCCTTAATTTTGAACCTGGGTTCCCAAAAGTGCATTTTACTAGAAGCACATAGCAGCATTGGAAGCCAGATGATGATGCATCCATTGTTGTAAGGTAAAAATATTGATTTGATTGAGTCTTGCCTTTTGCAGATCGATGCTTTTTGAATTCACTTTGGTGTGAGGAACCCGCCCTGTTGCAAGAATCTGCCAGTGATCGAATCATTCCGCCAGAGAGACAGTACGTGGGCAGCCTCACTGACCCAAAGGCGCCGATATCGATGTTCTTTCATATTTACTATGCTCATACTTGTTTGATCTGGTTTGTGTATTGCTCAACTTCAATCAAACATGCCTAATACCAGCATCGACGCTAGGATCAATTTGCAGTCCGTGACTGGTTGATGTGTGTTGATGTTTGTGCGGCACAAAGTCTGAGACTGGTCAGTTGAGACATCTGCACAGGGCTGTAAGGCTTTTGCGTCCAAATCCCAAATTGGTCAAGATCATCCTTTCATGTGGACTACTGCAATTTTCCTGAAAGACACAAGGGCCGAGGGGCTTGCCCCAAAGTCTGTGATCCATCACATGTACTGACAAACTCAGGTGGAGCAACAAAGTCATGAACAAATGGATCAGCACCTTGATTGTTGCCCATGTCACTGCAGCGAGGCCCATCCATATGTCTACACATCCAGAGAAGCAGCAACAACCGCGTGTCAGCAGTTGGGCTATCGAGGACTATGCAGCAAAGGCCAAGTCGAAGGCCTTGATGATGGGAGGGATCAACCAGTCTTTGCCAGGTCCACAGTTGGACAATCTAGAAACCTTCAAAGGGGAAAGGTGAAACATAGAAACCTTCAAGAGAAGAAAACCTTTGCCCCGATGGTTTTAATAGCTTGGAATCAGCAACGTCAAAGGTCTCGACGGTCTCGACTTCATCAAAGCATGGAGGCAAAAAAGCTTGTGACTTTTACACTCAAGTGAGATGTTGCGAAGCTACACCAAATCATGACTACAACTGTCCCCTTCTTTGCGTTCAGGATGGTCCAAATGCGCTTGGGGCTGGATGAGTGACTACAAAGGCTTTTGGTACAAAGAGACAAAGCAGTATTGTGGCCATGGCAAAGGGTGGCGCGACGGGAAAGATATCAAGAAGATGGGTGCCTACTGTTGCAACCTCGCCATGAATTCTTTGCACCTTGGGCAAAGATGCATTGTTGATTTTGCCTTGGGTTCACCCACACGTGTGTTCCGCAAATCCTGTTTGATTGCCAAGCACGCGCTGAGCTCAGCGGAGGTATATCGGAAGTTTGAGCAACCCAGAGGCCATGCGGCATCACCGCCAGCTATTGATGTCCAACGCAATAGGTCGCGCAGAGTTTAGCGCAGGTGGTCCAACTAGTTGACTAGCAGACTCTGCATTTGCAGCACTTGTGTATGTAGGGCCATGCAGAGGAGCAACCTTTGGTATCAGTATATGTGTTCATTGATGGTTTTTGTTTTTGCTCCACACACTATGTTCATGTCATTATTCAGCGGTGATGCCGGTCTTTATGTAGGCCGTAGGCTAATAACTGCCTTCCTTTGTTGTTGCTGCTTTTGGTTGGCTTCCTACTCCAGCCTGCTCCTCAGTTTGCCGCATGTTTGCTGCTGCTGTTCCAGCGGGTGGCGGCGCTTTTCATCTCGTTCTCGTGTTTGTCCTCGCTTTGCTGCTGTTCTTTCTATGTCAGGGTCAGCTATTGACTCGAAATGGTCTCAGCAAGTATTGAACACAACCAGGGTTCAAGGGGAGCTTTGATTAGCTTGGATGTGGGATCAGTCCAATAGCGCTGAATAACTAAACTAATCCATAGTCCATAGTGTTGATCTTTGACGTCGCATATTGAGTTTGCATTTATCCTTAGTGACCTTGACTCAAGCTTTGAGTATTGATACAGGTTCAAGATGGTTCAAGTATGAAAGAACAGTGCAGCTAGCGTCAGCTATGTATAGATTTACGCTTGCTTATGGCTTGTGCCCATGGGTCACTTGGTGTGGGCGTGCGATCATCGCGCGCAGAAACATCCCTATGTCTACAGCAGCAGAATAGAAGCAGAGGAGGCGTGCCACAAGGCAGGCTACCGTGGCCTTTGTTCAAAGTCGCAGATCGAAGGCTATGCCAGGTGCCTTCGCAGAATTACTTTGCCGGGGCACGGTTTATGATGGGGGACCCCCAGAATTACTATACCTTGCCTGCCTGTATTAAAGACGTGCTCACTGGCTGCTCCAGGCTTGTTGAGACCCAGTAGCAGTAGCATGCTCTAGCTGAGGTGTGCTGCTGGGTGGCTTTCTGACTCAAAAGGCTATTGGTTTGATCGTACAAAACATGGATGTGGCCACGGACGGGGCTTCAGGACAGAACTGATTGTCAGATTGCGAATAGTGTGATTTTGCCCGTGGTCTCCGAGTGCTGCAGGGGCACCGGATGTAGACAGATGGTGAAAGCATGCAAGACACCCAAGGGAAGTGACTGAAGCCCTTGGAAGGTGTCAGTCACACCAATTTCCCTGAAGTTTCCCTTGTTCAGGCATGTTGCGTCGGATTGCATATTTTTTTGTGGAGGTCTCCCGTAACGGAGGCTTTAAGGCTATATACTTCAAGAACCCTAAAGTTTACGCTTCTTACTCTGTTCCAACATGAC